CGCGCTTGTCCGCAGCCGCGTCACCCGAGGAACCGATCGCCTCGGAGGCCACCTGAGTAGCCTCCTTGAGTGCAGAGCCTTTGCCGTGAGGCTTAGTGCTCTTGGCCTGTGCCTTACCGGCTGCAGCCTTGGAGCGTGTCTACGCACCGCTCTTAGCAGTGCCGCGAGGCATGTTAACGGTCGAAGTGGAGACCTTGACGAAGAGCGCACAGGTTGCTGCTCGAGGCTCTACCTGTAAAGTGAGCCTCCGCCGCGCTCGCGCGGCCGAGTCGATGGTTTTCGACTTTGAGAATGAGAGTTTGTGACGAACATCTCTTCATTCTGATTGGTCGGTAAACCGAACCTAAGTGGGGGAGGATGTAACGGGGTACGTAGCACTAAGTGTACCCTGGTTACATGAAGTGTGACACTTCACACTTCAGGAGTATGACATGTCATACTCCGGGATATTTGGTACAAGGTACCAAGGTCATTCAAAACCAACCATTGGTTAAATGACATTGCATTTCTATAGGTAACTGATAGTTTGTATTAACCTCAAACTTAACCTACCTATAAATATACTCAGTTTACAATCTACCTTATTTAGATCACTTCGCTCTCTTTAATTAAAGAGGGGACCTGTGAACTGCCGTTCACTGAGAGTTTGTATACTCTCGGAAGATAACTTCCTCTAGCGCAAGGTGCTGTGTGACCCCGTCACACATACACTACAAAAAATGATACTTGTATCAAATTTTATACACTACTCGAATTGCTATGATAAGTTTTGGTAATCACTTTAAGGAAAAGCTACTACAACCTCCGTATTCTGATACTAGTTCACGATGTAGCGAAATGTTCTGAATCATTCCCTCATATATCATTTGGACGTCCCTCCGAACGACTTATTCAAGCATGGCGGGCCGGCGCAAGCGAAGCTTAGAGAGCGCACCTGTAGACTCAAGCAAGCGCACGAGACCTAGGCGAGGTTCAGCGGCGTGTGGAGCAGAGGGTACCACTCGATTCGATAATTCAATGTTCTTCAAAGTCGTTTGGAAAGAGCTTCGCGAGGAAGGATGTACCTCAAAGCGACCCCCACGAAATGGGCTGGACTCGTTCTATCGCTACATTCGCCCAGGATCGGATTTAAAGGGCAAGGAGGAGAAAGTTTCTTTGTAGGAGAGGAAGCACTGCTGGCTTTTTTTCTACGTGAAAATTGCTTTATGGCCCGCCACCCGTAAGTCGCTATGTCCTATATAAAATATTGACCAGATTGCTTATGCCTAATTAAACGCTAGGTATCACCCACGCATGCCATCATTCGTACAATGCACGACAAGGCAAAACGTCAGCCACAAATCCTGAAGATGCGGTATTCGGAGGAATTTTAGCTGAATAAAACACTCGTAATGGATATACGATGGATAACAAGGGATTGGACGCCGCCAAACAGGTTGTAGACACAGAAGAAAGGCGTACTGTGAAACGCCAATAGCGAGAATGAGCACCTTAGCTATGGTATCCAAAGTGCACGCACTTATCGGACGCAAACGGACGCAACGCAATACAGCCAACTAAACGTGGGTGCTGACAGCACGGATGATGCTACAATGAATCGTGTAGCCGCTATGGCAAACGAGGACATCGAGGATCGTCACTCAGGTAAGTACATGCATCAGAAGAATTTTGCATCGAGTTTCATGCTGTTGTTATGACAAAAATTTTGTTTTACAAGTTATAGATGGGAATCATCTACTGCCAACTCTCGTGGGGGGGATTACATCTACCGGCAACCAGTCGGAATACACCATGGACGAGATTAATACAAGTTCAATATCAAAAAGTGCCACTGGGGGTGCTTCCGAGTATGTCTCCAACCCAACCGGCAATACTTCGACAGTACAAGGTAAGTGGCGGTTTCTTAGCTACAATCGGCTCTGCCACCTCACAGCAGTTTATTTTTACACTTTTACATCAGGAATTTCTCGCTCGGAAAGTCGCATGCCACCATTATCTCCTCTACCATCGCATAGACCAGCCGGAAGATCATCAGTTGCGTGTGTCCCCTTACTTTATGTGAACACGTTGGTTGCGTTTTCTCCGTCTAAGGAAGTAGGATGAAAGGCAAGGTTTACAAGAAAGTTGGCGCGGCTTATATAGTCGGACGGGTATGTTGCACTGTGAAACCTAAAACGAAGCCAGGAAAGAACCCAGAAGGAGCAGCTCGGACGTAAAAAAAGGGACACCACTTCTCTTTCAAGTACGGTGGATTGATTCTCAATTTCAATCTAATTTGGAGGATATCTCGCTCGGCCTAGTACAGAAAGGTCATGCTAATTACAACCTTCTCATGGCGACTACAACTTCACTGCACTGGCAAGATCTCTGTGAGGCCACTGATGATGACCGGCTTGCAATTACAGACAGCCTTGAGGAGCTACAAGAAGCTCCGGTTCACTACACCCCCAGCCAAGTGTTACCAACAAGCTTGGCGGAGGTGGAAACGATCAAAACCATGCGATTTGACCCAAAAGCGCACATGGCACAACCTGGTGATCTCTTTACATGCGACGATGGAGCGACCGAAACCAATCTTAAGGATGAGTACCGATACATTTCTAATCATTCGGCTTCAGCGAGCTTTTTTTGCATATCTCCCTCTTTACTTCTGGAAACAAGTTGCTCTCGAGACCAATGCATACGCAAGCGCCAATCAGATTTTCATCGGCGAACCGTTCAGGTTACAAGAATTGATGACCTTTTTGGGAATACTGTTCTATATGGAAGCTACAGTTAAGGGGGAATATGCGAATTACTGGGGTCGCCAGGCAGAAGAAGACATATTTGGAGGTACTAGTATTGATTTGGAGCATGTGATGCCGCTCAAGCGGTTTAAGCTTCTTCGGCAATCGTTTTCGTTTCGAAGTGGTGTCTCAATGGAGGACACAATGCGAGACCCTGCTGCCCGCATTCGCACATTGCTGAATGTTATGAAAGTTACTGGCGGGAAGTATGTTGAGCTTGGTTGTAATGCTGCTTTAGATGAATCGAGCGCTGCCTGTAGAAGTCGATTCGGACGCCACCTTATCGTTTACATCCCACGTAAACCCGGTGGAAAGTACCACTTCAAGTTGTACATGATGTGCTGCGCAACGTCATGGGTCGCTGTGAATTTCAGACTACACTGCGAAAGTATTCTCGAAGATCGTTTGCAAGGCGTGGTAAATGTCCCCAAGTCTGAAGCTCTCCGCGAAGAGCTTTCACATGGAGCTGCAATCCGCCAGATCGTTCTTGAAGTTGCTCGACCAATCTACGATTCTAAACGGAATATAAATACTGACCATTATTACACGTCAGTACAGCTCCTACAAGCTTTAAAGCTCAAAGGGCTATTTGGTCGTGGTACAGTACGGGGCTCAAGCAAGCACTTTCCTAAGCACGTTATGCTGGAAAAGGGTGATTGTACAAGAGGGGAGTACCGCCAAGGGGTTCCCATTGACCACAATATGCTTGGGGCTTCATGGTGCGACGGGAGTATTGTTAGCATAGTCTCAAATGCGGATGCGTCCGAGTCAACCACTGTCCAACGTCGCGTGTCCAGCGAACATCAACAATTCTAGGCACCAGATTGTGTGAAGAACTATAACACCCACATGCAGGGTGTTGACCGGCTAGACCAGCTCCGTGCACGCTTCTCTATTGCCGATGGCCACTCGTTTAAAAAATGGCACAAGAAGCTCGCTATGGCTTTGGTTGATGTTGCTCGATGTAACGCGTACCTTACCCGCCGAATGATGTATACCCCAGTAAATACCCGGGACCCTCACCGTTCTTTCATTCTGGAATTGTCTTCTGAATTGATTTCCGGGAAGTGGTCCAACGCACCGAGCGAAGGTAAGATTTTATGCTCAAGCCGCAACATGGCTACGTCAGAATTACAGGCACCGTCTCCAATTAGTCCCGCTTACACTGTTAGCACTCCATTCGAGAGCCCAAAGAAGACGTGCACTGCAGTTGCATCAAAACAGTTTTACGATGAAAAAAAACCGCAAGCGTCACCAGTGTATTGTGTGCAGATGGGAAGAAAGATATCCCACTGAAGTCACGGACCACTGCGTCATCCATGGTGTGTGCCTTTGCAAGGCATATTTTGATTCACTGCCCGCTCCATACATGTGTCCCCAAGCCACGTGGACGTGTTGGGAAAAATACCATCGGTACTACGCACACAAGAATTTGTTTTCGACGCAAGACATCTTAGCTATTCAAGCTAAAAGCAAGTTTAAATCAGGTGGGTGAGATCAACGGTAATGATAATCGATCGGTAGTCAGACAAGTTTTACTTTAGCGGGCTGAGCACGCTGCCAAAATTGAATGCTGATTTGTATTTCTGTATCCGGTCTCTCCAGTGTTCGTGCCTGTGATGATTTCACAAAATGTCAAAGATAGTAGTTAAATTCTACCACACTCAGTCAATTTCTTGCCAATCAAACGCGGTTTGACAGACGTACATAAAGACAGATACCGAGTACCATAGATCTGTCGAGTTGCTGAGAACTTAACTGCCGAAGATCTCTTTCACGGTGATATGCATCGACACTTGAATCATTTCCACGATCTGCTTAAACTACTTCCGCATTGATAAGCGCTATAGTCTTAGAGTCGCCGGTGGCGTCATATACGCGTAGAATCTCTGTCATGATGACTTCTCCTTTGATACCCAACGTAGCGTGGTGGAAAAGCTAACAAAGCTAGCACCCAGATGCGAAGCTCACTCTAAGCTCACTCTGAAATAACGTACATGTTTACGCTGTCAGCAGTAGCTCCCTTCATCTGCACATTGGCAATAAACGTGTAAATGACTTAAATAAAGTAAGCAAAACTGCATGTGTCTGTTGTATGATGCATCCAAATGATTGTTTCTGTTGACCAGTGTAATTAATTTGATTAAACTATAGATTTTTTACACTTGCATAATGTATTGGCACATTATCCCTTTGGTCTTACCTAACGCAGTCATGATCACCGATTTCACCAACGAAGCCGATAAGGTCTTAGTGCAGTACGCCTTGAAATATGCGCAGCAAAACCAACGTGTCGTGTGGGCCGATCTTGCGCGAAAGATGCAACGGCGTTTGCGAGTCTCCAAGATTCCGAAGACGCTGGAAACTCGACTTCGAACACTAAAGCGCGCTCACGGCAACGACCTATCTCGTTTTCCTCCATGGTTTTTTAAAGTGACAATGGCTCGCTCACACTCCACTAACTACGAGAAGTCTCGGACGACAAATTACCCCGTGTTAGACTTTCAAGCTACTGTACGTCTACTTCTGTCGGTATTTGGATCGGTCACAAAAGCTGATATTCGTCAGAGATCTAGTGTACTACATGAAAATGCTGGCGAGCTCCTACCAGAGCTTTATTTAACGTAATAAGGACTATTGGGCCAATCGCTGCGGAAGATGTCTTTCTCGATATTGGCTGTGGAATTGGAAACGTTGTTGCTCAATTTCACCTCAAACAGCCGCCAAAAGCTGCATTGGTATCGAGATTCGTCGTCAGCTCTCTCTAATAGGCAACCAGCTCGTCCAGAGATACTCAAACGTGCAACCGTTGCTCAAGAAAGTTTGCTATTACAGGGAGATGCGAAAGCGGCATCATTATCATTGCCACAGCCTTTTTGCAATGCGTCTATTGTGTACCTCAATAGTTTCTTGTTTGCCAAAGATGTCAAACCTCTCGTGTTGGGCGAGTTATGCGCGCTTCCTCGTGCTCGTATCGTTGTTTCTACTGAGACGTTCGGCCCAAGGCATCGTATACCATGCATGAACAGCTTTTGTGCAAATGACAACTTACATCAGTATATTAGAGAGTTCAGGCAGAGTTGGAGCGATTAGCGCTGTAGAGACATTCTAACATTTAACGAGCGGAGCGGGCACACAAAAAAAACATATTGCGCCACTTTTATATTAAGGAAACTTCAGCCAGGGATAGGGAGTATAGCCGGCGCTAGAATTATAGATTCGCGATCGAGCGCACTGTGGTCTGGAAATCGAGCGTCAGTAATTTTCGGGACGCGTGTCCCCTAAGAATCAAGAAGGTCCCGCGTGCTTGCTCTTCTGGATACCAAAAGCCTCGCTGGATTTGCAGAACCTATAGCTACGCTCATGCTCATGGCATTCAAAACGCGTTTGAACACATGCTTGTACGGCCATACGTAGCTAAAGCGCGTAGCGTTGTCGCCCTTCTTCACATTCCAGTCGGTCTGCACAAATATTGGTATCGTAAGAAATGTATCAGCACTATCCAGTGAAGAACTATCCTGAATAATA